AATCTCATCACGTCCCATGGACTTGTGCACCTCCAGGTTCCTCAGCTCGTTTCAGAACCCAGTCTTCTCCTCCAGTAGGAGAATCTGCAGTTCCAGCAGGGCTTCTTCTGTAGCCAGCTCCCTCACCAGCTGTGTCAGGAAGTTCTCCCCAACACACTCCAGGAACCTCCCAGACTGTTCCCTCTCAGCTGTATTGTGTTCTCAGCTAATACCAGGTAGGTTGAAGTCTCTCACAAGGACAAGGACTAGTGATCTTGAGATATTTCATCTACCTCTATATCCTAGATGGGTGGCCTATAACAGACTCCCACCGTGGTATCAGCCTTGCTGGCCCTCCCCCTGATTCTTACTCATAAAGACACAACTCTGTTGTCACCATCATTAAGTTCTTGACATTCATAACACTCCCTAACATACAGGGCCACTTCACCTCGTCTCCTTCCTTGAATGTTCCTTCTGAAGAGTTTGTAGCTATCTAATGCAGCACTCCAGACATGTGGGTCATCCCTCCACGTCTCTGTCATGTTGACAACATCATAGTTCTCCTGCTGTGCAATGGCTTCCAGCTCCTCCTGTTTGTTGCCCACCCTACCTGCATTAGTGTAGAGGCACTACAGCTTGGCTGCTGGACCTGCTGCCTTTTTTCTGGAAGAAGCCGTAAATTCTACCTGACCATTCCCAGGCACATCTGTAGTTTCTAGCCCATCAATGACCCTCATGTCTCTGCTTCTGGTTACATCCTCTTCCCCCTTCAAATCTAGTTTAAAGCCTTTTTGATGATCCCTGCCAGCTCCCGTGTTAAGATCCTTTTCACCCTTTGAGACAAGTGTACCCCATCTGTGTCCAGTAGACCAGGTGTCATGTAAACCATCCCATAATCAAAAAAACCAAAGTCCTGCCACTGACACCAGTTTTGGAGCTAAGTATTGATCTGCTGGCTCTTCTTGTTCATTCCCTCATCCATCCCTGGGACTGGAATGACAGAAGAGAAGATGACTTGCGCTCCTGACCCCTTCACCAGTTGTCCCAAAGCCCGGAAGTCTCTCTTGATTGCCCTTGGGTTTCTTGTTAGCAGTTAATCTCTGCCTGTCACAAAAATTAGTAGTGGTGATGACTGGAAATGGAAACCATTGCTTCCATCACTCAAGTCGGGCTAACTGGGAGCAGCGCTCAGCCGGACAAGTGTACCAACCAGTGGCTTGTTGGCACTGGACTGCTCCTTTTCCTCACCCTTCCTCCCCCTTTTCCCATGCTTGCTCCTTTATGATTCACCCTGATACCTCCATCTCCCTGCCTTCAGCTTTTCTCCTGAACATCCCAGCATGAGCTTTGCACACTCCCATGATCCTTGTGAACCATCCCAGAACAGGTTCTACACAGACCCCAATGCCCTCCATGACTCCACTGGGAGTATGCTTTTGCCAGGAGACCCAGAAGAATTTTGTCTCTTTGTGATCAGCTACAGAGTTCTGGCTGACCCTCTGTAGGCTCACACTGGGAAGATTTCTTCCATGCCCATCCTCCAGTGACCTGAGAGCTCTGGTCTCTGCTCTCTACGGCTTGACACCGTGGACGGCTGGCTTGCTGTTCGAAGGGACATGACACTGCAGGTTGGTGTAGTATCACAAAGGATACTACACCAACCTGTAGTTGTGTATCTGTGATCTGTGTATCTGAAAGGTGGTGTATCACAAAGGAGGAGCTTTGTGATATGTAGAGATGTAAAGGAGACAAGTTTCTAACCACTGGAGATGTAGTGAATGCAGCTGATGAAGACAACAAAAAGAGAGAGACTTTGGTCCCCTTATGGCACATGACTCCATTTGGACAGCTGACAGCACAACAGGTTGCAATGAAAACTATGAGTGGAGTCAGGTTTTAAGCTCCTAAATACGGACATCTGATGTTAATTCAGTTGGCCAAAGGAATTTATGACCCATGCCCCAAGAGGATGCATCCAGATGTTGTCCTCTCTCAGCATTACTCCATGAGAGCTTGAAGTGACTGGCACATCTTTTTTAGCAGCTCTGGCACCTCAAAGGTCTCCAGGCCTTTGTGTGTGAACTCCAGCTCTCCATCTCCATCAATGAGCACAGAGGCTAAGACAAGCAGCTCACTGCAGGCGCCTGTTTTGTGCACTCCTGAACTGAGGCAAGATGAATCTCACCTCCTGTGGCTTTCTGGGGTGCATGGGATGGACCTGACTCCCCTTCTAGCCCCAGGACTACAACACCAGGATGAGATGCCTCGATTGACTCCGCTGAATCCCTTTCCTAAACATGGAGTCTCCCCTGTCCATGTGTCCTGTCCAATGGTGGAATAAGGAGCAAGCATTCTCATACCCAACTGACTCTGAGAGGAGAAATTACACTGCTGGAAAGAAGCGCCTCTGCAGAACTGGCCGATTGGTAGTAATTCAGTGATTACCTCAGTCTTTCTCAAAGTTGGTTTCTGGGGAGGCCCAGGGGAATCTCAAGCATTCCCTTCAGTGGAGCCTCTGCTCCTGAGCTGGGCTGTGCTCCTGGGGAGGAGGGAGCTCATGGTAACTGGGTGGCACTGCAGAGACACAGCTCTGCCCAGGAGCAGTTCCCCTACCAGTCACAGCAGGGCTTGTGGCACTGCCTGCGGACACCATGAGGAGATGATAGAACTTTTTGAAAGGGGGAAGACAACTTAGAATTCAATGTGAGAGATATCTTCACAGCCCTTAACATGCTAAGTCTCCAGCTGAGGGCAATGCAGATGCAGTTGCCAGAGGAACACCTCAGAGTGTAAGGAGTCTTTCAGGAGGACTCTCACAGCTTCAGCAGTGTGCAGGAGGAGAACCTGGCCCAGGTCGGTGATTCACTTCCACACCATCAGAACAAGAGGGCATCATGACTCCCTTCTCCCTGGAACACCTGCAGGGGTGTGAAGCTGGCTGTGCTCCCAGGGATGCCCAGGGCTGTTCTTCTGAGCAGGGTCCCCACACCTCTGGGGGCTGTGATGGGGCAGGGACTCCGCCGCTTGTCAGGCTCAGCTCTGAGCTTGCCCAGGGAGCTCCCCAAGGCGCTGCAGGCAGAAGCTGTGGATGGAAGGAGTGATCCCTGGCAGGGAAGGGTCCTTCTGCTTTTCCAGAGGTGCTGGGTGGGCCAGGGATGCTCACAGCTCCAGATCACAGCCCAGACATCTCTGGAGGGGAATCTTGCAAATGGGAAAAAAAAGGGGAGGCTTTACCTGCAAGGGACAGAGCCCAGGCTTTCAGTTTTCTGCTCTTGGTTGGCCGGGTGGGGAGTGAGGGATGGGAATTTGTCTCACTGGCTTGGAGAAGGCACTGAGGTGAAAAATCTGTTTCACTGAGAGCTGAATGAGTCTGGGGGCATCAGATCAATCCCTCATGATTACAGATCCCCAGCATCACCTTTCCAAGCTCATCAGGGCTTCTCTGAACTTCCCATCTGAGCTTTGAAGCACAGAGATGCCCCTGGGCAGTGTCCTGCCGGGCAGAGCTGAGCACATGGTGGCTGGGATGGGCTCTGGGAGCAGCGGGAGGGCACAGGGGTGCGGACGGAGAAGCAGCACCCAGCAAAGACAGCTGCAAGCAGCAGAGACATGGGCATGGAGTGAGAGGAAACGTTTAACGGAAACTCCATTTCTGGGGATACACGGGCACCTCTTGCCATCTCCCGCAGTGCAGATTGCTTCCCCTGAGCCACCCCCTCACTGCTTCTCTCCGACTCAGCTGAGCCTCTGCCCTCACAGCCCTGGGGTCCAGGGCATGAGGAACCTCTGCCTCCCGTTGGCTATGGCTGTCTGGGTGGGGGTGCACACAACTGGGAAATGGGAAGTCCTTCCCGGTGCCTGGCTGTCTCTCTGCTGGTCTTTCTTAACTGGACCATGACTGTAATCCTTCCTGTCTCTTCACCTGTCTGTGCTGCTCTTATTGTTCCTGTCACGCTCTCTGGGGGTGGGAAATTCAGCTGCAGAGTCAGGACCTGACCTTGTCCATCTTCCCATGCAGAAGTGCCCATGGGAACCAGGTGTCCCAGCTTTCCTCTAAGCTGTGGGGCTCTGGGCCATGCAGTCAGTGGAGGTGGGGAATGATCTCACTTCTTGAGCTGCCATCCTTAGGACGCTTGCCTAAGTCCTTGGGGTGTCCTTCAAAGCTGTGGGCTGCCCTGCAGACTGCAAATCTCTCCTACAGTGTCTGTGTGTAACGTGATGGAGGCAGGGAAATGCTGCTGGGCTGGTGAAATGAACACAGTCTCTTCGGTAAGCAGCGGGTACTGAGACATTGTTCAGGCACCTGGAGGCAGGGTGAGACACTTGGTCACCTGCAGTGGATCCCTCTGCTCTCAGCGGGGTCTAACTTCTTCTCAGGGTAACACAGGAGCACAGTCCCCCTCTGCTTCAAGAAGGAGCAAGCAGAGGGCAGCTGGGAACAGAAAAATGGACAGAGCAGCTGGCCTTCCTCTGCATTAAGCCACAGCAAATCCTTTTCCCTCTCAGGACTCAGAGCAGCTCAGCTTGAGAGCAGCAGTGATGAGCAGGATTTCTGACTTCAGAGGAGATTCCCCTGAGAAGAAAGGAGAGGGCGAGGAAGGACTCTCCAAAACAAACAACAAAAGTCTAGACCCTTTTCTGCAACCAACCACCTTTATTATTGGGAATGCAGTTGTTAACAAGCCCTTCAATGTTGAAAGGGATTTTGTCTGAGAAATTCTGATTATCAGATCTGGCAACTGCATCCCCACTGCTCCTAGGTAGATCCTGGACTAGAGCATGATCAACACCTGGGAAACCCACAAGCAGAGGCCCTGCTCCTCACAGCACCCTCACCTAGCACAAACCATAACTCCAGCCAGGAAGCTGCAGAAAAGTCCTGCCAAGCAGGAAAAAGGGTGAAAGTGTGGTGGGGGAAGAGTCCACAAGAAATGTGTTTGGTTTTTGCTCAGATGAGTCTGTCCTCACTTGTCACTGTCTTTTGCTCCTTGAACAGGCCGTGAGTCCATAAGGACAAAATGCCTAATGGCAGCTCCATCACCCAGTTCCTCCTCCTGGCATTCGCAGACACACGGGAGCTGCAGCTCTTGCACTTCTGGCTCTTCCTGGGCATCTACCTGGCTGCCCTCCTGGGCAATGGACTCGTCATCACTGCCATCGCCTGTGACCACCGCCTCCACACCCCCATGTACTTCTTCCTCCTCAACCTCTCCATCCTTGACCTGGGCTCCATCTCCACCACTCTCCCCAAAGCCATGGCCAATTCCCTCTGGAACACCAGGGCCATCTCCTACTGGGGATGTGCTGCACAGGTCTTTCTACTTGTCTTCTTGATTGGAGCAGAATATTCCATTCTCACCATCATGTCCTATGACCGCTACGTTGCCATCTGCAAACCCCTGCACTACGGGACCCTCCTGGGCAGCAGAGCTTGTGTCCACATGGCAGCAGCTGCCTGGGGCAGTGCATTTCTCAATGCTCTCCTGCACACGGCCAGTACGTTTACTATACCCCTCTGCCAAGGCAATGGCATAGACCAGTTCTTCTGTGAAATTCCTCTGCTCCTCAAACTCTCCTGCTCAGGCTCTAACCTCAATGAAGTTGGGCTAATTGTCATTAGTTCATTTTTAATCTTTTCTTGTTTTGTTTCCATTGTGTACTCTTATGTGCAGATCTTCAGGGCCGTGCTGAGGATCCCCTCGGAGCAGGGACGGCACAAAGCCTTTTCCACGTGCCTCCCTCACCTGGCCGTGGTCTCCCTGTTCATCAGCACTTTAATGTTTGCCTACCTGAAGCCCCCTTCCATCTCCTTCCGATTTCTGGATCTGGTATTTCCTTTTCTGTACTCCGTATGGTCTCCAGCAGTGAACCCCCTCATCTACAGCATGAGGAACACGGAGCTCAAAGGCTCACTGAAGAAACTCAATCTACGAGAGTTTCTTCAGAAGCAGTGAAACGCACAAGCAGTGTCAAATTTATCTCAGACCCATGGTATGCTTTGGGTGTTCTGTCATTGATAAGCATGGTCATACATTAATGACTGCAGTCATCCCACACCTCCAGGGACCGAAAACATGTCTGTCTGACCCAGAGACTGTCTTTAAATGTTTCTATCTCTAAGCAACTGTTGGGCTTCTGTGTGGCATCTCTCCATTGAAATGGAATTTTGCCAGTGCACACTGGACCCACATTTCCCCTAGTGTTCCTTTGCTGCTCAGGTACATGTATAATCCTGGAGCCTGGAAGGCATTCACCCTCACTACTGCTGCCTGCACTCCCCTAAATGTTCTGGAGTACACAGAGAGGCACAAGGGTTTGTAGATCTTCCCCAAGAAGACACACTACTGAAACAGGGTTATCCATTTGCAGAGGAGATATCTAGAAACAATCAGAGACATCTTGCTGTTTTTTAGACACTGTGGGAAGGAACAGGGGCCTGAACTGGTGTGGGAAGGTCAAAACACTCAACTCAGGGGTGCTTCGGGTGGAGTGCAATTCCCCAGAGAAGGTCGCAGACATCTAATGGGCTGTAGTTGGTGGTGGCTTCACTCTGCCCAAGATGTTCTACTCTATCTTGATGATCTACTTTATCTTGATGGCCAAGATGGGCAAGCCAAAGTTTGCAAGTAGGATCCACATTGTTTGTTGCACCTACTACTATTAGATGGGCAGAGCAGGGAACTTCCCACCGTGCGCGAGTTGTTACCAAGAGCTCTGTCCAAAAGCTGATTTCCTTGCCTGAATATTGGAAGGACTTGTGAAAACCACTCATGTCCTGAGTCATTACAGTTCGCCCTGCAGAGGTGGAAGGAAGAGGTTGGCCTGTAGGTACAATTTCACCCTTCTTGAGCTTAAACACTCCTTGTGCATCGGCATTCCTCAGCAGGCGATAATTGAGCCTGGAGAAGTTTGACTTCCCTCTGGCCCTTTGTCGCCTCTGTCGGCAGGCGGTCATTAAACCTCAAGGAGCATGTGCCTGAGAGATGTCCCAGCTCAGGGGAGATGCTGGTCACAACCCACTGCCATCCAGCAGAGCTCAAAGGGTCTCACTTACAGGGTCTGAGCTACAAAACTTCCATCACTGTTGTCAGATAATTGTGGTGCCTTCCAGAGTGGGCTACGACCCAGGCAGCAGGAGTTCCAGGGATGATTCCCTGGTAACAGGAGTTCCAGGTACAGTTAGAGAGTGCCCAACTCACTGGAGTTGTGACTGGGACAAGAAAGTCCCCGCTTGTCCAAACTCACTGCCCCTGCAACCAAGAGAAGAAAGTGCCAGATCATCCTAGTCCCCTGCTCTTGTGACCAAGACAAGAACACAACGTTGGCTGGTCCTGACATGGCAATGTGGCCCAGGGAGGGTCTGCACCAAGCACCAAGTAGCCCAGGACAGGGGTGGAAGGCTGAGGTGCATGAGATTTCAGGGGTTTTTCTAGTCCTGCTCACACAATTCAGAGATGTCCCTGGTTCAGTTGCCCGGCCTCAGTTTACATCATGTTTCTGGGGGGTCAGCACTGCCTGGAGCTGCTGATGCAATCTCCACTACCTCAGAGCTTCCGTCCCACCACGGAGTCAGTTCTGTTGTTTTTACTCTCTGCAAATCCTCTGGAGGGACACGCTGCAGCAGGAACCTTCAGAGTCTCCTTCCTGCTATAAACCCTGGGACACTTCCAAGAGCAGGGATTCTTCAGGTGCTGCTGGAGACTCACCTTTGGATGTGCTGGGAGAAGAGGGAAAGGGCAGAGCAAGGAATGAGCCCTGGTTCAGGGCTTGCAGTGAGGTCCAAGAAGTGAAGGATGTGGTAGGGAAGAGGCAGAAGGTGAGACCCTGACCTGGGACTTCATTGCCATGATCCATCAGAGCAGATGTCTCTGCTCCATGAGGAGGACTGCAGGGTTGTGTCTGATGTGCTGCGGGTGAGTGAAGGCTGAGTGTTATTAGTCAGGCTGCTGGGTCTTGGAGCAGAAGAGATGAGAGCATGGAGTCCTGAGTCTCACCCTTGTCCTTTCCTGCCTGTCATCCCACCCCAGCTCCTCCCTTCTCCCAGACCCCTCTGAGCCCCTGGCACCGCACGGGGAGATCCCAGGGACTGCCCAGGGACACTCTCCCACCTTGGCTGGGTGGGGGGACCGTTGGGGCAGGCTGTGTGGGGCCACATTGCCTGTGCCCGTCCCTTCATCCTTCACAGGGCTATTTCATCTCTCTCTTGTTTTGTTCTTCTTCTTTGTTGATATTTGAGTTTACTTTTTTCACCACTCCCGGCATCTTGTCCATGTATGTTTTGACCTCCAGCTCTCAGCCATCTCACTCCCATGCAGTGGAGAGGGCTGGGGAAATCCATCAATTTTATCGCTTTGGGCAAACTCTCCCTGTGATTATCACTGCTGGAAGACATGGATGCCAGCCCAAGAGGTGGGAGTGAGACACTTGGAGGGCACTGCTGTTACAGAGAGCTGTGCTTCTCGGGCATGAGCTTTCTCCAGCCCTGCGCCGAGGCATGTCCCTGGCATTGCCCGTGCCCCTCACCCTCATCCTCTCCCTCCTCTCCCCCAGACACCCTGGGGAAGACGTCCTTCTCAGTGTCCCAATCTGTCACGGAGCTCCAGAGCACCGCTGACTGTGCCATGGGAAGCAAATGGTTCTGCCCAGCAGCTTTCATTCACAGAAGGACAGAGTAACTGGGCTTGGAAACCACCTCAGGATGTCATCCTGTCCAACCCTCCCCTCCTGACAGCAGGGTCAGCTGGAGCAGGTGGCTCAGGACCGTGTTTGGTCCAGTTTTGAATGTCCTCAGGGATGGAGACTCCGTAACCTCTCTGGGAAACCTGCTTCCAGTGCTGGACCACCCTCTCTTTAAATGGAATTTCCTGGAATTAGGTGTGTCCTTTCCCCATGGCAGCGCTGAAGAGAGTCTGGAGTTGTCTCCTTTCTCTCTCCCATCCCTCCTCCCTGCACAACCTCTCCCATGTGGCTGTGGTTTGGTTGACTGCCTATCTGTTTTTTCATTGCTTCCTTGTCAGTTTTTATGCTACATTTTGACCCAGAGTCTGATTTTCCAGAGTGCTTTCTGGTGGTCCCAGAGCACAGTCCCCTGTTCCTTTGAGGCTGTAATTCCTCATCTGCCCTTTCTCAATGGAAGAGATTGGCCTTTTGGGTGGTGGGGAAGCAGTGGGATAGAAATCATTTCCTCTTCATGTGAGTGTTTGAGGGAGCTGTGACTACTCACTCTGTGATGTGCCCATCCCTTGAACTTCTATTTTTTGGTGTTTTTATGAGCAATGAAATGCATAAAGCTAATGTAAAGAGAAAAATGTCCTACCCAAAACAATGTTGAAGTTAAACACTGAAATGTGTTTCATTCTCATAGTTCCTCTTTGTGGAAACTGAGGAAATGAAATGAAAACAACATGGAGGAAGGGGAAAGGGACAACAGGACATCATCCAGAGATTTTGTGCTGCTGGGAATAAGTGATGTCCCCGCCCACCAGAACCTGCTTTTTCTCCTCTTGCTTATGATCTACTCAGTCACCGTGGTCGGGAACATCCTCATCGTTGTGCTGGTGGTGGCAAACCGGCAGCTGCACCCCCCCATGTACTTCTTCCTGGACAATCTCTCCTCCTTGGAGACCTGCTACAGCTCCACCATCCTGCCTCGGTTGCTGGTCAGCATCTTGACAGGGGACGGCACCATCTCTGTGCACGGCTGCATGGCTCAGTTCTACTTCTTTGCTTCCTTTGCCACGACCGAGTGTTACCTGCTGGCAGCCATGTCCTGTGACCAGTACCTGGCCATATGCCAGCCCTTGCTCTATGCAAGCTTCATGACCTGGAAGGTCTCTATCCACCTAGCAGCTGCATCTTGTCTGTTGGGTTCCCTGCTGGTGGTGGTAGTCACGGTCTTCTTATCCCAGTTGCAGTTCTGTGGCCCCAAGGCCATTGACCACTTCTTCTGTGAGTTTACCCCATTGCTGGAGCTTGCCTGCAGCGACACCAGGGTGTTCACATTCACAGAATTACAGAATCACAGAATCTTCTAGGTTGGAAGGGACCTTAAAGATCATCTTGTCCAACCATCAACCTAACTGACAAAAATAGACACCCACACAACAAACAAGGAGCACACAAACGTTAAGAACTGACCAGATTGGGCCAACAGAATCACAGAACTGTAATGTTTGTAAGGGACCTTTGAGGATCATCCAGTCCAATTCCCTGCCAAAGCAGGGTCACCCAGAGCAGGCTGGACAGAAATACATTCAGGGGGTTTTGGAATATCTCCGGAGAAGGAGACTCCACACCCTCTCTGGGCAGCCTGTTCCAATGCTCTGACAGCCTCAAAGTAAAAATGTTTTCCCTCACGTTGAGATGCAATGTCTCAGCTTGCATTTGTTGCCCCTTTTTCCTGTCACTGGGCACCACTGAAAAGGGTCTGGCCCCATCCTCTTGACACCTGCTCCTTAGATATTTATCAGCATTGATGAGATCCCCTTGCAGGCTTCTCTTTTCCAGGCTAAACAGCCCCAGGTCTCAAAGTAAAAATGTTTTCCCTCACGTTGAGATGCAATGTCTCAGCTTGCATTTGTTGCCCCTTTTTCCTGTCACTGGGCACCACTGAAAAGGGTCTGGCCCCATCCTCTTGACACCTGCTCCTTAGATATTTATCAGCATTGATGAGATCCCCTTGCAGGCTTCTCTTTTCCAGGCTAAACAGCCCCAGGTGTCTCAGCCTTTCCTCATCAAAGAGGTGCTCCAGTCCCCTGATCATCTTTGTAGCCTCTGTTGGACTCTTTCCTATAGTTTTCTGTCCTTCATGAACCGGACCTGTGCCCAGACCTGGACACAGTACTACAGATGTGGCCTCACCAGGGCAGAGCAGAGGAAGAAAGTGATCTCCCTTGACCTGCTGGCCATGCTCTTTTTAATGCACCCCAGGAGACCATTGGCCTTCTTGGCCACAAGGGCACATTGTTGGTGTATGGTGAACTTGTTGTCCATCAGGACTCCCAGGTCTTTCTCTGCAGAGTTGCTTTCCACCAAGTATATCCCTAACCTGTACCATTGGATGAAACAGAAATCTCTTAAGTTTTACAAGGACAGTTGAGTGGATTGAAAACTGGCTAAAAGACAGAACCCAGAGGGTTGTGATCAGGGGCACAGAATCCAGCTGGAAGTCTGTGACAAGTGGTGTTCCCCAGGGGTCAGTACTGGGTCCGGTCCTCTTCAATATATTCATCAATGACCTGGATGAAGGGATGGAATGTACCCTCAGCAAGTTTGCTGATGACACAAAACTAGGAGGGGTGGCTGACACCCCAGAAGACTCTGCCACCATCCAGTGAGACCTGGACAGGCTGGAGAGAGGCCCAGAGAAACCTAATGAAATTTAACAAGGGCAAGTGTAGGGTGCTGCACCTGGGGTGAAATAACCCCCTGCACCAGGACAGGTTGGGGAGCACCTCTGAGGAAAAAGAACTGGGAGTTCTTGTGGACAACAAGACGACCATGAGCCAGCAATGTGCCCTTGTGGCCAAGAAGGCCAGTGGCATCCTCGGGTGCATCAAGAAGAGTGTGGCCAGCAGGTCGAGGGATGTCATCCTGCCCCTCTACTCTGCCCTGGTGAGGCCCCATCTAGAGTATTGTGTCCAGTTCTGGGTTCCCCAGTTCAAGAAGGACAGGGAACTGCTGGACAGGGTACATCAAAGGGCCACAAAGATGATTAAGGGCCTGGAGCATCTCTCCTACTAGGAGAGGCTGAGGCCCAGAGAAACCTAATGAAATTTAACAAGGGCAAGTGTAGGGTGCTGCACCTGGGGTGAAATAACCCCCTGCACCAGGACAGGTTGGGGAGCACCTCTGAGGAAAAAGAACTGGGAGTTCTTGTGGACAACAAGACGACCATGAGCCAGCAATGTGCCCTTGTGGCCAAGAAGGCCAGTGGCATCCTCGGGTGCATCAAGAAGAGTGTGGCCAGCAGGTCGAGGGATGTCATCCTGCCCCTCTACTCTGCCCTGGTGAGGCCCCATCTAGAGTATTGTGTCCAGTTCTGGGTTCCCCAGTTCAAGAAGGACAGGGAACTGCTGGACAGGGTACATCAAAGGGCCACAAAGATGATTAAGGGCCTGGAGCATCTCTCCTACTAGGAGAGGCTGAAGGACTTGGTCTTTTTAGTCTTGAGAAGAGAAGGCTTAGGGGAGATCTAGTTAATGCGTACAAATACTTAAAGGAGGATGGGGCTAGTCTTTTCTCAGTAGTGCTCGGTGAGAGGACAAGAGAAAATGGGCACGAACTTGAGTATAAGAAGTTCCACCTAAACGTGAGGAGGAACTTCTTTACTGTGAGAGTGGTAGAGCACTGGAACAGGCTGCCCAGAGAGGTGGTGGAGTCTCCTTCTCTGGAGACATTCAAAACCCGCCTGGACATGTTCCTGTGCAAAGTGCTCTAGGTAGACCCACTCCAGCAGGGGGATTGGACTACATGATCTCCAGAGGTCCCTTCCAACCCCATATGATTCTATGAGTCTATGATTCTATGACAAGTGACCATTCCTGCATCAGAGGGAAGAAAATTCCTGTATATCAGGGAATGCGACCTATGGAGCAGTGAGCCTGAGGAGAATGTCCTAGGCACTATGAGGGACAGCATATGAGCCAGTGGTTCATGCTCACCGTGAACCTGGCCAGCTGCAAAGGTGGATTTATTAGGAGGAGCACGGACAACCAGGCATCTTGAGTTTTCATCCCCCCACATCCCTCGCACCAGTGAGCCACGGTGTAGCCTCCCCTGGAGGTGTGTGTCCCTCTGTGGGAATTCCTGCTGCAGTCAGGTGGGGAGGAACTAGAGGGTGCCCAGAGGAGGTCTGCACTTGCCCTGTACTCCAGGCCCCAAAGCCCGCCATTGCCAACCTCTTCCACCCCAACACAACACATGGAACATGTTGAGCCAGGAGAACCACCAGGCTCTCCAGCCACTCCAGATTCCCCTCCCAGATGATGGGTGTCCTTAGTGTGAAAGCCCTGGGTACATTTGTCAGTTCCACACACCATCTTACCTGTCACCAAACAGGAACTGATGACCCCTAAATACAGTCCTATGTCTCTAAAATGTCAGAGCTTCTTATTCCTGAACACACAGAGGAAGAGGAACTTCAGGGCTGCAGTACTCAGGTCTGTTTGGAGAAAGTTACGGTACGAAAGCACGGCACTGGGAGATCCCATTTTATTGCACAGATGCTATGAAAGAGGTCAGCTCTGAGCCACTGTTAAACACACTTTTATAAGGAAACTGGGTGACACAAGGTGTCATGTCTCAGGTGCAGTGATGCAAATGCAAATGCTTGTGTAGAAACACAATAAATATGAACAAGAGGAACAGCAGCAATAATTGAAAAGTATAACGGTTAAAAAATAAAAAAATTGAAAAAGAAAAGAAATGGGATAGCGTGGGAGTTATTTGTGGAGAAAGGTGACACATTTATCACTCTTCAAAAATGTCCATGAAATCAGTCTCCTAATGGCATCCTTGTGGGTGACACAAGGTGTCATGTCTCAGGTGCAGTGATGCAAATGCAAATGCTTGTGTAGAAACACAATAAATATGAACAAGAGGAACAGCAGCAATAATTGAAAAGTATAACGGTTAAAAAATAAAAAAATTGAAAAAGAAAAGAAATGGGATAGCGTGGGAGTTATTTGTGGAGAAAGGTGACACATTTATCACTCTTCAAAAATGTCCATGAAATCAGTCTCCTAATGGCATCCTTGAGCTCCTGGTTCCTTATGATGTAGATGAGGGCATTCACTGTTTGAGGTACCACTGAGTACAGAACAGTCACCACCAGATCCAGGGACAGGGAGCAGACAGAGGGGGGCTTCAGGTTGGAAAGTATTCCAGTGCTGATAAATAGGGAGACCATGGCAGGTGAGGGAGGCAGGTGGAAAAGGCTTTGTATCGTCCCTGCTCAGAGGGGATCCTCAGCACGGCCCTGAAGATCTGCACATAGGACACCACAATGAACACAAAACAAAACAAAACAACCAAAGCCTAAAGAGGCAGTGACCACAAGAAATCAAATATCCCTGAGGTAGGAATCTGAGCAGGAGAGCTTGAGGATCTGGGGGATTTCACAGAAAAACTGGTCCAGGACATCTCCCTGGCAGAGGGGTAGGGAAAATGTATTGGTCATGTGCAGGAGAGCATAGAGAAAAACACTTTTATATGAGAACCAGGTGACACAAAGTAAGTACATGTCTCTGGTGTAGTGATGCAAATGCAAAATTTTTTGTTGGCACATAATAACCCTGAATGATAATAATGGCAATAAGGATAAAAAAAATTACTGAAAAAAACATAAACAAACCAACCAACCAACCAAAAGCAGATGGCATCACTCTGTAGTAGTCATTTTTTAAGAGAGGTGGAAAATTTGTTGCTCTTGAAATATATCCAGGAAATCACACTCCTTATGGCATCCTTGACATCCTGGTTCCTCATGGTGTAGATGAGGGGGTTCACTGCCGGAGGAACAAGAGAGTACAGAACTGCCACCACCAGGTCCAGGGATGAGGAGGAAAAGGAGGAAGGCTTCAGGTAAGCAAACATGGCAGTGCTGACATATATGGAGACCACAAGCAGGTGAGGGACACATGTGGAAAAGGCTTTGTGCCGTCCCTGCTCAGAGGGGATCCTCAGCACAGCCCTGAAGATCTGCACATAGGACACCACAATGAAAACAAAGCAAACAAATAGTAAACAGGCACTGGCCACAATAAGCCCAGCTTCCCTGAGGTAGGAGTCAGAGCAGGAGAGCTTGAGGATCTGGGGGATTTCACAGAAGAACTGGTCCACAGCATTGCCCTGGCAGAGGGGTAGGGAAAATGTATTGGCCGTGTGAAGCAGAGCATGGAGAAACCCAGTGCCCCAGGCAGCTGCTGCCATGTGGACACAAGCTCTACTGCCCATCAGGGTCCCGTAGTGCAGGGGTTTGCAGATGGCAATGTAGCGGTCGTAGGACATGACTGTCAGAAGAAAAAAATCTGCTCCAAGGAAGAAGAAAACCAGAAAGACTTGTGCGGCGCATCCCCAATAGGAAATAGACCTGGTGTCCCACAGGGTATTGGCCATGGCTTTGGGGAGAGTGGTGGAGATGGAGCCCAGGTCAAGAATGGCAAGGCTGAGGAGGAAGAAGTACATGGGGGTGTGGAGGCGGTGGTCACAGGAGATGGCAGTGATGATGAGTCCATTGCCCAGGAGGGCAGCCAGGTAGATGCCCAGGAAGAGCCAGAAGTGCATGAGCTGCAGCTCCCGTGTGTCTGCAAATGCCAGGAGGAGGAACTGGGTGATGGAGCTGCTGTTGGACATGTGCTGACTCTGGGCTTGGGGGGCTGTTCAAGAAGAGAAAATATGGTTAGTGAGTGAAGATGTATCCAACTAAAATCAAAACCATTTCCCACAGACTCTTTCCCTCCTGCTCACACCCCCTTTTCTTTTTCCAGGAGATCTTCCTCAGCACCATTGCATGAGCTCTGGTTGGCACTGGCTGAGGAGTCAGTGCTGCTCTGCAGCAGTGGGCTCATGGGAACAGTGAGGGTAGGGGCCAGTCCTGGGGGCTGACTTTGTTGGATGAATTTCCCTCTAATGCAGAAGCAATTGCACTCCTGGTGAAAAGGAACTGAGGTGGCAGAAGGCAGTGTCAGAGGTTTGGGGTTGTTCACAGCTCCCCCCATCTCACCTGGAGAGTGTTCTTGGATGTCAGAAGGTCTCAGCATTTCTGCTGCACTCAGGGAGAGCGGAGTGAGTCCTGCGAGGAAAGCGGATTGTCTGGGGGTCAGGGAGCTGGTTT